TTAGAAATTATTTACATATTTATATTAATAATAATAAATAAAACAGACCTGCAAGTTTAAAGATGTTAAAAGTTGTTTGAAAATTGATCGTGGTTTCTTACGCAATTTTGTGCGCTAAACACGAATCTGGCTTCAGAAATTGTCTATCACGTCAGGTTTTTGAGATAAATAAAATGGCGATTTTAAATATATTCATAAAAATATTACAGAGAAAGCAACAAAAAAAGCAACAATTTTTTACTGTTTAGTTCCCTTGAATGTTTCTATTTTTATTGTTTTTATTTTAAATGTAGATATAAAAAGAACAATAATAAAGGCTTATCAAAGCCAAAGTTTACAATTAACACAAATTCATAGTGAACTGTTAGAAATAAAAAAGTTGCTAAAAGACTTGCCGAAAATAACACAAAGGGATGAGCAAGCCACAATGTCGGTGCAACGAAAACGGAAGCTGGAAATCGCACCTATGCAGAATATGGAGGAATTTGTTGCATTAGAAGAAAAGCTGCATAATAATCAAATCTTTCGCGAAGAACTTGTATGTTTATATTAAACATTAATAAAATTGTCATAGTTTTATTGATATATCTGCTCTAATAATGATGTGATTGTTTTATTTTTCAGAAACACGATATGTATAATATTATTGATACAGATGCTTCGATATCGCGAATTGTCACAAATATTATAAAAAAATATGTAAGCCGGGCTGTAATAATAGGATTTACAGCAGTAAAGCAAATTACCGGCAAAAAAGTATTTGTGAATACAAACTTCTGTAAATGTATAAGAGGTAACATATTATACAATATTATATAATATATAATACTAATATGTATTATATAATATATATCATACTATGAATATTTTTATGTATTTTATGTATATTTATATACATAAAAACAGGGTGAGTCTAATAAAATGTCTAATAAAAATAGAGTAAGTCTAATAAAATGATTAGCACGTTTTTTTCAAAAAAACGATTAGAGATGGAGAAAAACATCCGTTATCAAAATTGTAAGAGATTACGAGAGATACTATATATGGTGACTTTAAGTGATCTTTAAAATTTTTTTCACTTTATCAATCAAAACTTTTTCTTTTTTTAACTGGAAAGAGATACTTTTGAGTCACTTTGTCGATACTTCAAAAAAAAATAAAAAATAAAAAAAAAAACGCAAAAACGCAAAAACTATTTGTTATTCTTCTATCATATTTCCTCGAGTGATAGAATGGTAAAGATAAGCTAGCTTTTTCACTCTTCTTTTTCCAAGTATTCCAAGCTTTCCACGAAGATTAATAGAGTATTATCAACAGAGTGGCTTAAAAATATCCTCTTCCATTAAAAAAAAGAAATGTTTGATTGTTAAAGTAAAAAAAATGTTTAAAGGTCATTCAAGGTCACTATAGTATGTCCCCCTTAATATCTTACAAGTTTGATAATAGATATTTTTCTTTATCTCTAACCGAGAAAAAAGTGCTGACCATTTTATCAGACTTACCTTGTATATATCATATTATATTATGACTGATTTTATGTATATACATATACATATATTTATTATATTCAATAAGTTGTTTTATTAATGTTACATTAATTGCAGAAGCAATTGAAGATGAATTTTCTTTAATCAATATGGCAAGTTTGAAAGATAAAGATTTTATCGAGGCTCTCAGAACAGTTATTAACAACGCAAAAGACTGGGAGGGTCAACGACTTTTCCGAAAAAAAAAAAAAAATATAAAAATTAAAAAATTGAAAAAAAATACAAGTGGCGTTAATTAAAAATATATCTATTATTATATTATTTGTCTTAAACATTAAAAATATATTATTATATTATTCGTTTTTATCATTAAAAATATATTGTTATATATTGTTATATATTGTTATATAATTATGTATTGTTTATAGTTTTTAAAAAATACTCATAATTTTCAGAATAAATCATTTGTTAAATTTAAAAATATGCATTTATTAATTATTACTTCGAATGCGGTGATAAGAACATCCGATCTACATCTGGTTGCCTGATTGGAGCCTAATCTGGCAGCCTGATCAGGACCTAATCCATTTGCCTGATCAGGATCGAATCTGGCAGCTTGATCAGGGCCATTTGATACGTAGCGTTACATACCGCACAGGGCCCTTATTAGAGCACCGGATCCGGACCTGATTTGGAAGTAGGGCAAGCCATATGTGGATCTGATGAGGGCCCTACGAAAATTTCTACTCGGGATCGAATCGTCGCTCTCCTCGGTCTCGTTGTAATCCAAATCGATCTTCGACGACACCTCGACACTCGTGCCGAAATTTTGAAACGTCACGATCGCAAAACACGCTGCTAGAAGAATCGTTCGCATCTTCGTTGTTTGCTCGCTGATACACGCGGGGCGATACTGCGATGTGATTTTTCATAAAAAACAAATCTTATAGCAATATGCAACATATCTCCAAGGAAGGGATAAAGACTCCAGCCGGATGTGTATACGTAGTAATGACAATCATTATCGAAGAAAATTACAACGACCTCCGTACGTCCAACTTGTAAAACAGAAATCGCGAGGAAGACAGGCGGACGAATATATATTTTTCTCAAAAGAGTTCGAACCGCGATGTGTTTTTTTTAATTGCTTCCTCCGAGAGATCAATATCGCTCGCGCGAGGTTCGCGAGTAAATGCGCAGCTGATAATTAATGGGAAGATCGTCTACGTGTGTGTGCGTGTGTGTGTGTGTGTGTGTAGGTAGGTAAACAATAGAACACATATAAGCAATATTAATCAAATTAATGAAAACAAAACAGAGCAGTATACGTAGTGCGCTTCACAGTAGCACTTAAATGCTATCTCATAAAGAGAAGAGAGAAATGCCAATTTCTGCGGAGAAGAGTCCTAAAAAGCAAAGTGCACTTTTGTGCCGAACAAAGCGTAATAAAGGTTTCATTGTGAAGGACTCAACGGAGAGGGTACGAGATGAATGCTCATGAATGACATTATCTCGCGCCTGTTACGCGATGAGTAAAGTGCTCTCTCGCTCTAAAATGCACCCCCCTCCGTGTTGTGTTGCCCCGTTTGCAGTCGACACATTAGCGCTAAAGTAATTTCGAATCTTGTCACCCTCTACGTTTTGGTTAAATCTCAGCGCAAACAAAGGGCGAGAGAGGCCTCATTGAAATTCATTAAATCTCTCGTTTGCCCCTTTCTCTCTCGCAAAACTGTGTGCGATATTTTCCCCGATCGTCGTCTACACTTTATATCTTCTTTTATAAAGTCGCGACGTTGAAGAAGCTTTCAAGTAAGTATAAAAAATACCGGAGCAATTACATTTACTGACGCTTTTAATCAAGAATAATTGCTGTGTAATTAATAAATTACAGAGATTCCAACAAAGTGTCTCTCTCTCTCTCTCTCTCTCTCTCTCTCTCTCTTTCTCTTTCTTTCTCTTTTTTTTCGGTTTACCTGCAATATTTCGCGTCCCGCGTATAACGCGATGAATCATCCGCGGCAGGCGTTAACCGTTCGTGCCCGGCGAACGTCGCGGGCGCGCTCGCAAGTCGTTCGTGCGCCAACGACGCAATTATGCGACGGTGCAACAGCGAATCGTCAGACGACCGCAGGATATCGCGCCGCGCATTACGTAAATCTCCTTTGTATAAAAGAATCGACGTTACGAGACCGTCCAGGATCGTCACGGTCGCGCACAATGACGTAGAATCCTCATTATCAACTATCTCTCTCTCTCGGATATGCCGCTGCGACCGGAGAGATTTTTTATCCCTGGGAGGAGGCGAAACGCGGCAATTAATTTGAAACCGATTCCTACGTCCGGTTGTCTGTTGTTTCTCGGGAAAAAGTACATTCATCAATATAAATACGAACGATTGTGATCGTGACGCGGCTACGTCGTTAAAAAATACCGAACAAAGCGGCAGCTTCCGTCGCTGCTTCTGCAATTAAACCTCGCGCGTGTTGTAAAAATGTGCGCTTATCTCTCTTCTTATTTTCTCTCTCTCTCTCTCTCTTTCTCTCTTTCTCTCAAAACTAACTCGCGCGGTTCCCCAGACGCGCCTCTCTCTCGGCTGGATTTCGCGAACAGACGCTGTGTTGATGAAGCGCGGAAAACGGAGCGCCTAATGTAGCGTGCCTAATCGCGCTCGCATTATTGGGGGAATCACCGTAGGTGCTCCCGCAGACGCGGATCTTGACAGTGTAAATACGCGGTAAATTAATGTTCCACGGCAAGGCCGCGCCTGTTGTCTGTTTCCGCGCGCACAAGAAACGCGCGCGCCTCACAAAGAGTCATTATTCGTGTTGCTGAACAACAACGTGTAACAGCGAAAATAAACAAGCGTAAATTCCAGATAGAACGTTTTTACGACCGAAAAGAAGGGAAACCTGCAATATAACAGTCAAATAAAAACGCGCTTTAATTGGCGGTGTGCAGCACGTTTAAATGTTCAGCAATTCGCGCAACATTTTTGCTTGCATTTTTGTGAGAAAAAAATACATTCCATCTGTTTTATTTGAGTGTTTTTTTTACACAGATTTGCGAAAAACGTATATTAATAATTTGAAGACGTGTGTGTGTGTGTGTGTAAAAGACTATATAAAAAAATATTTATAAAAAAAAAATAAAAAAGATACCGAAACACACATTTTTTACAACGTTAATCATTCTAAGATAAAGAGACATTAATTTTCTCACGTAACATTTGCACGACTGCGGGCACGAATACAGGGGACTCGCTTACAATGTGACATATGGCTTTGACGAACGGCTTCCGAGAAAACAGAAACTTCTTCTTCTTCTTCTCGTGGCGCGCGCGCGCGCGCGCTCGCACCCTTCCTTTCGCCACGAATAAAGGATCGCCAGAAATAACCGAGCGAGCGGCTCTCGAAACGAGCCTTCGTCCTGAAAAGAACGACGTTTTAACGGCTGTTTTCGTAGAGTCACGGCAAGCTGGAGGATGCGTGCGGACACAAAAGCAACAACAACATGTATAGACAGAAAGTTTTTTTTTTTTCTTTATTTATCGCTCGTAACGCCCGCGGTTTTGTACATTTATAATATCTCTTATGCTACACGTCAAATTATGTACACAGAATTCTCTTTAATTTAGGCGTGACGCGCGGCTCGTATACTCGTGTGATATGGAACGCGATGCTCTTTTCTTGTAATTGTAATATTTAAATATACAGATGGCGCGGAACGTCACTTTGTGTCGAACAAGAAATGACAGTTCGATCGATCGACGAGAGTGGCAACTGCTTGAACCAAAAATAAATGACAGAGCGTTGTTGCAGAGCTCGAGCGACAGATTGAAATAGGGATCGGAACTGTTTGAACGTTTAAGAGAAAATTCTGATTCGAATCTGTCGCTCGAACTCTAATTAACAAAGTGTTGCCATTTATTCTTCTGTCAAACAGTTGCTTCTCTCGTCGATCGATCGATCGATCAAACCGTTTCATTTCTCGCTACCGAGTATCGACACATAATGTGCATTCCGCAACAATATTATTATATACAAACTTACAAAAAACGAATATTGGCACAAAACATACACACACGTGGGCAAGCAAAGCGCCGTATCACATGGCTTAGATTCGTCGGGGAGAGGTTTTCTCCTTCTTTTTCGTTTTTTCGCCGCTTTCTCTACCGGTGACACAGGTTTCCGAAAACGGAATTGGCAGTGCACAATGGACGCACACGCTTACCGGTTTTGGTAATCACACTGGGCGACGTTACGTCGAACAGTCGAGCGCCTAAACACGTGCGGCGCGACGTTAATTGAATTTCAGTCTTAACTTTTACAGTACGAGTCACATTCACGGGATTTTTTTATAATAATAATGTGTTTATTCACTATAAAAAGTGTCTCGTAGATGTAGACGTTATTTCTAAAGTCGATGCCAGATCAGTCGTAAATTGCGAAAAAAGTTCGTGTATTCACAGAAACGAGTTTTTCGTGAATTACTAGCGAGCGAATTGCGAATCGCGCGAATAATTAACGCGCGCATTTGTTTCACTAGTTTTAAGAAATATTTTTCGAAATTGAATTTTTTTATCCTACGTGTAAGATCGTAAAAACGTTTGAGGAAAAACTGTATTTTTTTTTTCGTATTTTTTTTCTTTTTTTTACGCAACGGAACTCTCCGTTATTTGTGATATTGTTGACGATATACGTATTTATGTCTATAGAAATACAATTCACATTTATACAATTAGTGATATCACACAGCAATATTAAATTATTCTGAAGTTTGGCAATTGCAAAGTTGAACAAGCAATATACATATATATATATTATACGCTAAAATCGATTATCTGTACATGACTTCTATGAAGTATCAAGTTGTACAAATTAATTAATTTAAGTACTAAAACAGTATATGTACAAACATTTTCCTTCACATTGGCGCCATATTTTGATATTCGAATGAAATTCGTCGCTCGATAATACAAAAAGTGTCTCCGTGCATTATATTTTTACAAAAGTTTTAATTTTAAACGTACTGTATTATACAACATCTCTCATTCAGATAATATTAAAAGAAAAAAAATTATTTTTTTTATATTAAATGCATAACATATATAATGCATGATATGACATGACGTGTTATTACACAATTATATAAAATATTAAAAGTGTAGTAAAATGTGCAGAGACGCTTTTTGGACTAATTGCATACCGAAATGCAATTCAAAACACTTAAAAAAAAAAAAAAGTCTTTCGATACTCGACATGTTCAATTAAACATATCGCGTTAATTGAGTGTGAAAGTCTTGCAAGCAGATAATTAATTGACTAAACGTCGGTCTCTCCTCGGCCGACATGGCCCAGCAATACGCCATCACTGCGAACAGCTCATCCGGACAGTTTATCGGCTGCGCCAGTCTGTAACCGTCTCTGAGGTAGGACGCCATTTCGAAGGGATCCACTTCTACGTAAGGCTGTTGCGCTAGTGTCGTCAACTCCCATAATAAAACACCAAATGCCCACTGTGCGAAATCAGATAGAAATGTGTAATTGATAGGCGATACATAATTAATTAATTAATTAATTAATTATATGTCACACTCACGACATCGGAAGCTGTGGTAAACGTTTTGTTGAGTAAACTCTCTATCGCTAGCCACTTGATGGGACGATTCTCGTTGTCGCCGAGGCAGTGATAGTCTTGCGGGAACAGATCTCTAGCCAGAGCATTATCCGTGATCTGTACCCTCAAGTCGTCGTCAACACTGGAAGAGAGAACAATTAAACTTGAAACAATTATACTTGTTGTGTGTCGCGAAACACACAATAACGATACGTTTAGCTTGGATAAAAGTTCCAAAGTTAAATCATCGAAGGATGCAATATGTGTATCTTGTTAATAAAAAAAATATACATATATAATAATTTATCGTTATCTTATATACGTACACGCAATTTCTCGCGGCCAGATCTTTGTGAATAAGCCTCTTTCTGTGAAGATACTGTACACCTTTGGCAGCTTGTAGCGCCATTTCGACGACTTCTTGCGTGGTAAGAGCCCTCGGAGGACCTTCGCTACTTGACTTGCATTTTACCAAGAATCTCTTCATGTTTCTGTAGCCCGTGTGCGGATACAGCAGAAACGGCGCGCTTCTGTCCTCGATCGAAACACCGAGGACTGGAAGCAACGCTGGATGACTTAGCCCGTAGAGAGCTAAACCTTCTCGCAGAAGAAGAGCCACCTTTTCAAAAAAAAAAAAAAAAAAAAAAAAAGTTAACATTATCTCAACGTCACGTTATCTCGAAGTTGCATTATCTTTGAGATAAAAACTTTTTGTTTTCTCTCAAAAAACAATTGCTTAAATAAAATTTAACTTACTTGAGATTGTGACGCGTGCTCGGCGGCAGTTTTTACAAGCACATCTCTCGGAGCCAGAGCACCCTCCTCGTGATAACTACCCCTGTACACGCGTCCGAACGTTCCTTCCAACTCGACACTGAGAAGACGCACTCTGCATCTGTAATAGCAGAGAGAATACGTTACCACTTTTTGCTTCGCGTCATTTACATTACTTAAGAATTTTGTCTATGTTGTTATTTATAGAAACAAGATATTTTTTGTTTTTCCAAATCTTTCTGTCATTACGTAACACGCAAATAAATAATTAATTAATTTTTAATTGGTTTTGAGAAAAATTATTTCACAATCGCGACAATTTTACCTTTGCACGGTGATTTCCTGTATCCTTTCGTGCAACTCTCTGCTAGGACGATCGTCGAATCTCCTGTAGGACGATCCCGATGCGGCGGACGTAGGTGGAGGTGTTTCCGGCGACAAAAACGTTTGCGCGGGTCCCACACCGGTGCCTCTTTCTATGCTGCACGCCGAGCTGAGACCTCTGGATTCTCTGGAATTTCGTACGCGATTGCGAGGTGAGATTTTTTCTGGAACTTGTTGAAGATTCCCGCGGTTTCTTTTCACAGCGGTTTGTTCTCACTTACTGAAGGGGATCTCGATGTCTTCCGGTCTTCTTGTAGGAAGACCGAGCGTAGTAAGAGACGACGAAGACGATAATGAGCATGATAAAAGCGAGCGCGCAACCGATCGCCGTGTAAAAGATCTCGCCGCCGGTGGTGTAGTCCGAGGCGGCGACCAGAACCTCCTCGGGCTGTCGGGTGTAGCTCTTGTCCTTCAGACAGATCTTCTTGCGCTTGAACTCCAGATTGGTGATGTTTCTCGTCGACAGGGTGACGTTTATCCGGAGCGTGAGATCGACTTCCGCGTCGTATGGTCCGCAGTGCAGCGACAGGGCCCACGTTTGCTGACGGCCGACGGGTATGTCGCCGGTTTGAGAAATGTTCAACGAGGTGCTCAGAACCGACGGATTGCTGATGTCCACGGCCATAATGTACGGCAACTGGAAGTCGATCGAGATTTCGAATGTTTTTTACGACCGGCCAATTATTTAACGAAGATTTCTCTGCGATTTTAAAAGCTTTTTGCGAACTTGCGAAGTCAAAAAACTGCCAAGAACTTTTCTTTTGGTTTTCTTTTTTTTTTTTTTTTTGTTTTAATGTAGAATATGTGATTTTATTTGCGGCATTTTCAATTTACAAACACCGTGTACAGTCGTTGAAAACGTTCCAATAACCGGACGCGCACCAATGACCGAATATTTATCGAAGAAAATAAATTATTAGACGCGCAAACATAGTAAACGCAACGCAATGTTTTAAATATTTTGAAAAAATATGCTCTTAAATATTACTTTCTAACTCTTTGCGCGCAAACACTTCGTTATAATTATTTCTTTAATAAATGTAGACGCTTCTCCGGTCATTGGAACACTTACTTTACCTACTTAAGCGAGACGAGAGCGGGATGGGATAAATGATCGAAAAACAAAGCGAGAGAAGGCGGCGCTCGGGGCTTGCATCTCACGAGGAAGTCGAGATAGATAGCACAGATGAAACAATGCCGAAGGACGTAAGGTTCGGTACTGTATACCGCCTTCGTAATCTCGAGAACGTTGAACCTTTCTATAATCGTGGACGTACCATTCTCGGAAGACAATTTGCGCTCAGCGAGAGCAAAGTGAGTCCAAGAGAACAAGAGAGGCGGGGGAGAGAAGGAGGGAAGAAGGAGGAGGAGGTGGAGGAGGAAGAGAAGAGAGAAGAAGAAGAAGAAAAAGAAGAGGAGGAGACCGCGAGTGGAAGCGAGAGCTGGGACGCGATGCAGAAGCGAGCTCGCAGCTGATTACTAGCTCTCGCGGTGATGATCGGTTCTCGGCTAGCCACGCGGAGAAGTACTTCTCGTCAACCTGTAGGCTTGTCGCTACTGCTATTCGCCGCGCCGTTGCGGTCTTTTACGTCCGCGAAGACGGCGAATTGCCGTATACTACGTGGCTAGGCAGTTCTCCGACCGAGGATGAACAAGTAAATTCCAGTTAAAACCTCGGACGGGGACACAAGAGATGCGAAACTGTTTCGCAACAACGTTCCCCGCGGACACGCGAGGGAGAGACGCGAAATGAGATGGGATTTCACCTCGCAATAATTTTCAGTCGGCACATCTTTTTTGCACATCGTTACGTACGATATATATATATATAGAAATAATAATAAGAGACATGTGAATTTTTTGAGATCGAAAGATTGCAAACACATCGCAGTGGAATGGAAAAATTATGGAATGGTATCTCTTTAACCATCTGCATTTCTGACGGAAATTATTCGACCGTGACAGATGGCGTATAAAACGGAAACACGCACGCTCGCACGAGAAAGAAATGTTCTCTCGCGCGATATTGTGACTCGCCGCTTTTGTGACTTAGTCGCGGAAGATGTCAATGTTCGCGTGGCAACTTTTGATGTAACTTTTCGCATTTCCTTCACAACTCGCCTTCACAATGAAACCTTTCTCTCGTTAATTTTCGAATCGGCCATATGGTTTGTTCTCGAGAGACGCGCGTGTGTGACGAGCGTGAGAGGGAAAATTGCAACTCGCTATACAAATACCCGCGCGACGAATATCCGATCGAAAATTGAACGTCTAACGCACAGCGCCGCGCGTCAGAGAAAGAGACACGAGAGAGAGAGAGAGAGAGAGAGAGAGAGAGAGAGAGAGAGAAAGAGAGAGAGAGAGAAGATTCTCCGATAATTCGACGTACAACGGATCGCGTCCGGAAACCGCTTTATCAGAAGAGACGACGCAATTCCCCCCGCGTTTGACAGACAGGCGCGCTTGGTTTAAGTACCATTCAGGCCGCTCGGTTTTGTCGCGGAGGTGACGGATGTCTTCGCGTCGCTCGTCAAGTCTCTTTCTCCTCTCTCTCCTCTATCTCTCTCCTCATTTTCCTCCTTCTTCTCTCCGCCGCTCTCTGGAACCTATATATTCGCCTCTCACACATCGAGACTGAACTGTGAAAGAAGTGGCTGGACCACTTTGTCCCTGGATCTCCGCGTTCTTTTTTTTTTTTTTTTTTTGTTTTCCGCGCATCGCCGACGAGTCAATCGGACACCCCGTCGCATTCTGTCCACTTTTCGCCGCCACTTTGTCAATGTATCACGGATGATATTGACGGGCGAGATGTGGCGGCGCCGCGCAAAGTTGCCTCTCGCCAGTGACTCATATTGCTATTACTACGTCTATTACCACGGGAAAGAGAGAAAGAAAGAGGGAAGTCTGGTTTTGATTTTATAAAACCACATGAATATGCAACCGCGCGATTCTCACCGTCATAACTATCGCCCGGCGTCAGCTGCGTAGTAGTTACATTAAGAGTAACATAAAATTAATTCGCGCGGCGGGAAGTCCGTCAGTTATTTATTCAAGCCAAAAGCTTGTGATCAGCATGTGGGAACATTATTTAAAAAATCTAAATAAAAAGAGAGATTGATACAAAAAAAAAAAAAAAACAATAAAGAGGAAGAGGAAACGCGCTTTTGATTAAAAAGTAAAATTAAGCAGAAAAAAAAAATTAATTGCTTCTTGAGAAATAACATCGTGCAATTTCCCATCGTCACATCAGAACGGACGCTCGTTGTGTTTCATTTTCGTGTTATTTATCGACACAGACCCGCGCGCGTCCATTGTAGCGTGCCGGGGGAACGGGAAAAGAAACGACATGCCTCGATAATCCTGATAAGTACAGCGCGGATCGTAAAAACACACGAGAGAGAGAGAAGCACGAATCAGAGTCGATCTAAAAGTCTCGAACCGGGTTGCGGCGTTGCGTTCGCTGAACTCGGAGAAAAACGATGTTGACGCGGATGAGATCCGTCTCCGAAATGTACGTCTTGTACGCGCGGTGACGCAAATTCCCGCGTTAACGAGCAATTTCTTCAGCCACAGAGGCGATTTTAAATCCCGACGAAGAAGAGCGCGAGGAGAGAGACGCGCAGGAAGAATGGCGGGAAAAATGAAAAAAAAAAAAAAAAAAAAGGAACACGAAATAAGAGAACGCAGAAACGCGCGCGCGCGCGCGCGACGAGACGAGAATATTGTGCACGTAAATATCTCGCACATGGATAATTCTCTCGTTTTCGCGCGACCGTCGCGTTATCTGTTCACTTTGTTCACACACCTTCCAATTCTCTCTGCGCTCGGTTCTTCCTTTTTTTTTTTTTTTTTTTTTAAGTATGAGGGATATCGCGACGCTCATAATATTAAGATACACGTGTATGTGTGTGCAACTCAATATGGTTTAAAGATAATTTAAATTAATGTTGAGGGGTGATATACACACGCGTGAAATTAATTGCATAATTGTTACAATATTTTACCGCAAAACTAACTTACCGGTCTACCGGCGAGATTTTCCCATATGAAATGGAGCTTGTGTATGGTCGGCGATACAGGAACAACAAACTTCATGGCGTATTCGTTTACAACACCTTCCCTCACGTAAAACAACTGCGCTTCCGGCAGTCCTGCAAAAACACAATATAAATTTATTTTTACGTGAATATCTCTTTCGAGATTGAACCGACGCGGTCGATTCTTGAAATAATCGAACAAAACGTGAAAGTAAAAAAAAACTCCACGCGAACCAACAAACACAAACTGCTCGAACACGCGTGAACAGAGTCAGTCGCTCATACAAAGCGCGACGGCGCTTTGCCAAACAGAGCAACAAATTGCCGCGTGATGCGCATTTGCTTCGCTGAATTTTTGTACCCGTCCCGAGAGACCCACACTTAGCGCGCATTATATGCTACCGGTAGGTCGACCCGAAGACCGGGAAGCGAAGGTTGCCGTACGGGAGCCGGGCAAGGTTAACGTGGGCGAAGAAGCCGGCCAAGAAAAGACGGAGAGTGTAGGTAAAAGAAGAGGAGAGAGGTCGCCGAAGGAAGAGGAACCGGGAGAGACACGGGCACACGTCGTGTACCCTCGGAAGAGGGTCTATTCCTTTGCCGGTTGTATCTGATAGCGCGCTTAACGAGGCACGAGTCGGATTTTTAAGTCACCCGAAGACAATGTGCCGGCGCGCTCTTGCTGCCCCCGCCGGTCGTGTCTTTGCTTTCAGAAGACTCGCCCGGCTCGCATACGGCGAGTCTCCCTCGCCTCGTTCTTTCTTGGTCTCCCTTGGCCTTTACCGGTTTTCTGCATCAGATATCGTATACCCACGACCTCCGTACCCACAGCCGTTTTCTACCTTCAAGCTCCTCTCTCTCCGTTATTTCTTCGCGAGCGCCCCCGCCGAGCGCTATAAAAAGGACGACGAACAGATCCCTCGCGCGCACACACACACACACAGTAGGGAAGTTTTCCCTTTTTGAAAATAATTTACCTCGGATCTCGAAAAAGCATATATGAATCTCGTAGACTACCTGCCACCGCTGTAAAAATCGATTTCTCAAGAACCTTCAAAAGGGGGAGAAGTGAAAGAAGGAAGAGGAAAAAAAGAGCCAACAAAAGCGACAGGTGCGCTTGTTGCCTTTGAACGGTTGAAGGATATGGCGAACATACTAGGTACAGACCTTTGCAAACAACGTTGTTATATTCCCCCTCCCCTCTCACTCTCTTTTCGTAAATTAGAAATCCACCACTTTACTCGACTAATGTATGCGACTCGACTTTGGAGGGATAAAGATCTAACGGATAGTAAATTAATTGCCTTTGTGCGCGTTTGTACAATCCACTTGGTCGTGTATACCCTCAACAGAGGGTCGTCTCTATTCGTAGTCATTAATCCGAGCCGGAGATCTTGCACTACAGTAAAGTCGGAAGGCAAAAAGCGTAATCCTTCTGACATCAAAGATAACTTCATTTGTCATCGTCTCTCTTCATCGTCGACGGAACGACGACGATCGCGAGTATGACCTCGTTACTGCGGTTTTTGCCGCGTCGCCTCTTATCTAGTCAAGAAGGGTGCTCGCGCGCGGAGACTCTTCACCACTCTTTTCCCCGGTTGCGATTATGCGGCAGGAAGTCGCTCGCGAGCTGAGTGGAAGCAAGTCGCAATGGATACCAAAAGATGCCTTTGATGTCTGGGTGTTGTACGCCTACCGCGCGCGAGCCCAGAAAGCGGACGGAGAAGTGCGAACTGGCTGGGAACGGGGGGGAGGGGGAGGGAGATTTAAAGCGAACGAGAGAGGAAAAAAAGCCCTTTCAGCGGAGGCGTCGACCCTTACCAAGCGATGCCAGACACAATTGTCACGAAGGATTCTACCGGGGATCCTATCTTTTTTTTCGCGGAGAAACTTGACGGCCTGCAACCACGTCTACGACGTCGTGTCTCGTTGTGTGTCGCTACCGCGTCCGTTCGGACTGAATATCGAGTTAGCGCCACTTTCGTCTTAGATAAAAGGCAAAGAGAATTTTTCTGACGGAGCACCGTTAAATTTGAAGCCCGACCCGGGTTTCTTTTTTTCTTCAGATACGAATCTGAGGTCCGCCCGTTGTGATGCGCGCGCCCCGCGATTGTATCTTTATGTCTTAATCTCAGAGAGAGTTTTCTCGTCGCGCGCGCGCGAGGGAGAAGAGCAGAAAACTTTCCGAGTTTTTTTTATACGTATACGAGATAACTCGCGCGACTTTAAAACGAGCGAGGGAAAAAAGGAGGATGAAAAATGAGCAGCGATAATAAAAAGATTATAGCGGGATCTCACGAAAAGTGATATCGCACTTTGAATGAAGTGAATTGTCGCAACGGCACAGTTCCCCACAGTTCGCTCGACTGCTGCGCGTTCGAAGATGACAATTCTAAAGATCTGCTGGTCCCTGGTCCCCGGGTTTATAGGACACAGACTGCGTAAAAGAAAACTAACGCGGTGCCGTGGAGAGCTAAAAAAACTTATTCTTCACACGCCACACGGTATTTCGTCCTGTCAAAATACGGGCATTGAGGTACGGGCGAACAATAGAACGAACGGATATTGTAAGAGGTGACGGTGAATAAAACACAGAAGTTGAGAAAGATCAGAGAATGTATTATCTCTGAAAAAACAGCAGATTACACAGACGACGAGTTCTCATTCAGGAATATTTAAAAAGGATCCGCAAGAATAGAGAAAACAATCTCTCGTATGCGAGAGAACCCGCGCGAAAATGAATCGAAACCCAAGGCGAATAAAAACAAACGGATGTGTGTCGCGGCGAAGGCGTGAAACCCTCCCCCGCTCTTCCCGTCCGCGAAATTCTCTCTCGGTGCAGCGGCGTGTCCCCCGCTGTCAAAATACGGTATTGAACGTGGTTGACGGGCGCAGCCTCGAGACCGGCCGCGCGAATAAAAGACCGGGGGTCCCGACTGCGAGATTGCGCAGAATCGCCTTGAGCAGGATCTCTCTCTCTCTCTCTTTCTCTCTTTCCGAACCACCAAACCGGGGGACCGGGGGTTGAGTTCTGTGTGGGTCAGAAACCCAACACCTCCTGAATATAAAATCCGGTACGCGTATAACGAGATCCACCCGTAAGCAAGGGAGAGAGAGGTTCTTAAATGGACGAAGAATCTGGAGCAGACATACATACGAGGCGGGTGAGTGAAAAAAAAAAAAAAAAAAAAAAAAAAAAAAAAAAAAAAAAAAAAGGGAAACGCAAAAGGG